TTATTGTAATATTAGAGATAATAATATGCTTAAAAGAAAATAATAATATATTTTTGCATATGAAAACATTGTAATATTCACTGATAAATTGCCAAATTTCGTTAACATTTGCTTACCAATTTAGAAGCTGTAGCATAAAAATTATAACAAGCACAAAATGGTTACGAGGTCGGTCCCAGGTACTTAGCCCGGGTTGAAAGAGTTAAACACTTTGCTACCTAAGAATTGCTCATGTGAGATGGGTTTTACTGTAGGTCTTTGGAAAAATACAATTATGATCATTTATCCTAAAAACTGAAATGTTAAAGTTTTTAAAGAACTTCCAAAATTGGTTAACTTAATAAAAATTAAGGTTTTTGTATTGCTGAGTTTCACATCGTGTTTATTTATTTTGTACATCCAGCATTCAAAACTTAGTAATATCCTAAAAAAAACCAGCATTGAGATACTGTAATATAAAATAAAAGTCAGTTTACAGAAACTATGCAATTCTGTTGGTCCCTATTGGAATTACTATTTAAGAGATCTATATAAGATAAAGAGATTTATCACAAAGAAAAAGAACTTACTTCTAGAAATGCAAAATTTTTATCCAAGTTAATCTGGCAAGCAAGGACTGGACTGCCTTCAGCTTGTGAAAAACAACAGACATGCATCTGGGCATTAAAAAAGTCCATCATCTCTTGCTAGAAAGAAAAAACTAGATTATCATCCTACTTTTTGAAATAGTACTACACATATAGCTTAGCTCCTGTTCCTATGATCTGTACAAGTTATAAAACAATTTTAAACATTTGACAAAAAAAGCTCATAATGTAGCCATTTTTTTAAATCAAAGTTTATAAACCTTGAATGTGCAGCTTACATTTAAGTAAGGAGTGGCTTACAGCATCATTTATAAATTGACAAGTAAATTTGTGAACTGAAATTTTAAATCAAGAGTAGTTTTAAGGACTCTGCTATAAAGATGGTACTTGCTTATTTTAAGATTCCCAAACAAATCTGCTCAATCTCTTGCTTTAATATGGTCTAGAATTTTTTAATATTTGTATCCTGGAAATATCCCCCCACCACCCCATTTATATTTATAACAAATTTTATCTATTACAAATTTAAAATAAACATCGTTATAAATCATACTTTGTTTCTTATGCTTCCAGATAAATATACTTTGATCCAATTACGTAAAAATCTAGATTTACAGTTTGGATCAGCAAGGCTACATACCACTATCATCTAGTTTACCTTTTTTAACTAGAAACTATTAAAAACAAATCTGCTAGTGAATATTCTGTACAAAAGCACCTGATTTGTACATTCTGAGGTTGTCATAAGACTATCGCTCTTCAAATCTTATTTAAAGAAAAATACATTTAGCTTTTTAGAATAATACTTTTTACTTACAAAATTAAAAACAACAAATTTCAAAAGGTAATATATATATATATATATATGTGTGTTTGTGTAACTGATGTATACATATACACACACACACACATACAGTGAAAACAAAAAATATACTCATATTACCTCACTACATCCAAATGGAATGTTGCCCACATACAATCGACGAGCCTGTCTAGTGATGGTACTACCAACTACTGGTACGGGAGCAATTCCTGGAGCTGCTATGAGGGTTGCTGGAATCTGTCCAGCCGCTAAAACCATATTTTAAGCTATCAGATTCAAATTTTTATATAAAAACAACAACAACAACACAGATTTCATAAAGGGACTTAAATCTTTTTAATTTTTATTTCTGAATTTTCCTTTTGTTCATACTAAATGAACAAACCATTAGAAAATAAGCCATTAAATATGTATTGTAAGATAAGTATCAATGGATTATTACATTTTATTTATACTTTAGTTAACTCAATTGGGATATACCTTGTTGAATCATTTAATGTAAGAGCTTCTTTTCACCTTAAAACAATCTTCATTAAATTTCTTAGTGACTGGTTTTGTATTGGTTAACTATACCAAATCATCAGAGCCAACCACAGGGAATAATGCCCTTTCAGATTTATTGTTAGCCACTAATGAAGATATGGTTTAAAGAGTTAAAAGTGGTAAAACATTTGGAGAAGAGTGATCACTGCTTAATTAAACTTTGTGTTTTTCTATATGCCGAGATAAAAAGGAGTGAAATTTCCCAATTTTGAGGCCACGAGATATTTGTCATTAGTAAACTGAGATAAAGAGTTGAAATGTGATTTGTGACAGACTTTGGAATGCTTGAAAAATAAACTGACTTTTATTTGAGATAGGCAGGTACCTAAAACTAAATGTTGTTGTTGCTTTAGTGCAAAGCCACACAATGGGCTGGCTGCACTCTGTCCATCATTGTGAATTTAACCCTGCCCTGGATTTTAGCATTACAGGTCTATAACCCACCATTGATCTGTATCTAAAATGAAGAAAAGGATAACAAGAAAGATAAAACCTAATTAGCTAACTAAAGTCATAAAGGACAAAATCAAAGATAATGCTATAAGTTTAAGAAATTTAAAGTAACAGGTAGAAGATTACCAAAATTACAGAAAAACTTAGGATTTGATTGAAAAATAAATACAGGCTTATAGGTTGTATGGTAATGTTAAATACACATTAAGTTAAGATTTATGTAACTGAGCCCCTGAAGGATGCTGATGATGAGGCTCTTCTTGAAGTTTATGAAATGGTTAAACTTTTAAATGTTCTCTTTCATTTACATTAGAGAAGATAAAAACATCATTACTGATCCTGAGAATTCTATGAAAAATACTGGATTTTACTTTAAAATAATTCAGATGTTAATGTCTTGGTGTTAAATAGAAGGATTTGGAGCCGGACAAGTCTTTCGTCAAGGTTTTAAAGGAGATTAAAGATTAGATTTACAAGCTTCTCTCATTTTTAATCGAACAGAGAGTGGGCAAGTGCATGAAGACTGAAGTGTTGCTAATATTACTCTTACTTCTGTAGATTAATCCTAGAGTACAATAGAACAGGTTTTGTAAGATCATTTGGTAAAATACGAGAAAACCAAGATGGATTCACTAATGATATATCTCACCTTATTAACCTTTTAGCCTGATAATGGAAAGTGCACAGATTGTATATTTAAAATTCCAAAAAGCTCTTGACAGAGTTTCGAACAGTAAAATAGTTAATAAAAAAAAACCTCATGGGTAAAGGGGGGAGTAGATAGACCAGTTAATTGGATTATAGAGTGGTTGAATGAGAAAAAGTGAAAGCTTATTAACAATGGTTAGTAGTGGAGTTCCTCAAGAGTTATTGCTTGGGCCACTGTTTTTTGTATTAACATTAAAGATAATGATGGGAGGAGGCATAATAAATAAAGTTTTTTGGGAATGTTAAACTGTTAGTATTACTAACTGCAATGAGGATGTCAAGATACAAAAAACTACGGATCTAGCGACAATTGCCCTTTAGATGTATGAAGTACTGAGTAATGCATTTAGATTATCAAAATTCAGATCGTGCATTTTATATAGATAGGAATTTACTCTGTAGCTTGACTCAAGAACAAAATCATGATATTTGAGATAGCACTTTGTTGTTAGTGGTAAAGCTAATAACATTTTTGGGGATATTTATTAACATACTGATTAGAAGTCAAAAGAGGTAATTAACTCTTTATAAATCACCATTTATGCCTTCATTGGAAAACTGTGCTCAATGTTGGTCTCCTTATTTAAGAAAAAATATTGATTTATTGGAAAGGATTTAGAAGAAGGCTATTACGATGATTCTGAATGGTTATCTTATTGGAATAGATTAACATATTTTTTTTTCTTGAGAAAAGAATAGTAACGAGATCTTACAGAAATGTACAAGATTATCCAGGAGGGAGGAACTGATAGGATAAAAGTCTTGAGTTTGTTGAGTTTCCAATTTTAAGAATTGGAAGAGGACAGGCTAGGCTCCAGTTATGACTGTTTTATTTTTCTAAAATTGTTTTTGGCTTATGAAATTAATTACCTTCAGAAGTAGTGGAGGATGGTGTTATACAAGAGTTTAAGAAGTGAATCAACAATTTCCTACAAATAAAGGGTGGATTTAAATTTTTACTTCTTCTAAGAGTGGGTATGAAAGGACAGTTTCAAAAAACAAATGGTGCCTGGTTGTCTGTATGTTAACTAATTCCAAATTAAGATCAAACTTGAGAACACCTGTTTTGTTAACCTTTTCACTACAGATCATGGGTGAAAGGCCATGTCATCTCGTTTGATGACTCGCATTCAAAATTTATTGAACTACTACTTCATGAATTTATGTCAATAAGTTTGGTATCAAATTGTATAATATAATTCAAATTTTAGTACTATATATTACTCAATTTCTTAATCTAACAGCAAATATTAGAAAAACACAGATAAACATCGATTTTTGTGTGTCAGATTGAATGCAGCACTGGTTCAGATTAGATGTTTGTGAAGTCAAAATACTAAATCTATAGTTCCGAATGAAATAGAAACTCAAATTACCGATATTGACAAGCTGGAATATAAAATAAGAGCCTCTTATCTTTTCAATTTGCTAAGACATTGCTCACATGATAAATCAAACACAGTGGCACCCCACCCATTTCTTTCAATTTTTGGAAATGTTCCCTTATATAAATATACACTTCTATATATGACATGAATAACCAACCAGAAGCTCAGATTGTCCCCCTAGTGGCTTTCTTAGCCATTTTAATTGACTTGGCTCCATTTTAGTCTGCTTAAAATTTCACATTTTTTTAGACTAAAATACATCTTAGTTACTAATCTTGATAAATTATAGTTGAATTCTATGGTATTAATGTAGTAATTCGTGATTCTTTAGTTATTCAAATGTATATATAAAACCTAAAAAATATAGTTTCATATTCTCCATGTGCAATTTTTTTAAAGGCTTAGCAACCTACGTAAAGCAGCAACTGAGTACAAAGGTCGTAAGTAGAAGAGATAATTGTTTGCTTTGCTTCTTTAGTTACTGTTCTATGTTTTACGAAAAACAAGGTTGAGAATGCATTTCAAAATAGCAATAATCTATATACACATATAATGTATAATAATTGAAATCTGACCGTATTTTACAAAATGCTAGTCTACTAAAACACAGCCAAGATAAGTTACTTTGCACAGACCAAAGGTCAGTTTTATGTTATTTGATAACAAGGGTGCACGTGAGCCACGTCATTGTAACTTTTGTATTGTTTGCCAGGCATGGCTGAAAGGTTAATATAATAAAAATAATAAATATATATAAATGTATAATGTTATGAGATTTAAGCTATTTAGTCTAAACGTTTATGTTATTGTGTTATAATTTGTGTTCTTTCTAAAATGAAAGAGATCTAATTTTTTACGGTGGTTGCAAGATCGGTCAAATCTACCAAACCCATACAGAGATAAATTACTGAAAATAACAGATAAAATATAAAGTTTTTTCTTAAGAAATGTTTGATAACTATCTCAACATTATAAAGATTTTGCATATGAAATCTTAAATTTTCTGATGCATAAAAGTATTTTTAATCTTAAGATGAATATTACTTC